TGCATCCAAAGAAGTGAGGTTTTAACTCACGAAAGCTTATGCCCAAATAAATCTGTTAGTCTTTAAGGTGCCACCAGACATTGCCAACTGAATTTTGGGAGACAACTTAAATAATCCAACTGACTTGAATCATATTTTGTAGAACAATTATTTTCTGGTCTGGAAGACTAAATGCCAAGTTTCAGCAAATGGAAAAAAATAGCAAGTGATCATTTAAATAAAGACTGTACCATAATGCATCCACACAAGGGGGCCAAATTAAGGTAGCACAGGCATAATCCAGCAGAGGAACTTTGTCAGATGGGAGAAGATTCATTGTCGGCTTCTTTTGCCATCAGTAAGGATTGACTCCGTCATGGAGGTCACGGATTCCGTGACGTCTTCTGCTTCAGCCTGCTGCAGCAGTGGGGCTGAAGCACCTGTAAGCCCCCACTCAGGAGTGCAGGAGCAGTGGCTCCCCAGGGGCCTGAGTAGTGTCGGGGATAGGTCAGCTGCCTGGGGGCCAGAACAGGAGCAGCAGCCCCCGGGGGCTGGAGGTCAGCCCCCAGCAGGACTCCGATAGTTAAAATACCCTGTGGGGGGATTAACTAAAAAAAAAGGTCAAGGACAGGCTTCCGTGAATTTTTGTTTATTGCCCTTGACCTGTCTGTGACTTTTACTAAAAATATCCGTGACAAAATCTTAACCTTAGCCATCAGTTAGACTGCTTCTTATAAGTTAAAAGAAACAGCCCCATCAAATGTTACAATTTTGCCATTTAGAGTTTTATTATGTTCCCAGCTATGATTGCCAACTGTATCCAACTGCTGACTGCTGCCAAAGGCCTTCACCCCTTATGGTAATTAAGGTTATAATGCTTTCTGGAGAAGATGAAGCTTTTGATAAATTGTTTAAACTTTATTTTATTTTTTAAAACTTTTATTTGTGCTGTAGTTTAAGTATGGCTGAGTCTAATTTCGTGTTATAACTTTCTAGTAAAAAGAACAGGAGTACTTGTGGCACCTTAGAGACTAACAAATTTATTAGAGCATAAGCTTTCGTGGACTACAGCCCACTTCTTCGGGCTGTA